GAAAGAGAGAGAAGAAAAATGGGAGTTTCCAGTCCCAGCTCCATCTAGGCTAGCTTACCTACTTGGAACACCTCTTCTGGGAAAACCTCCTACTGACATCACTGAAGCATGGAACAATACAATGAAAATGATCTGGAAAGCAGCTCAAATTGTAGTCTATAAAAACCATAGTTTGTTATTATTAAAATGTTCAAACGTGAGCTAAGAGTGCGGGTGTGCAGTTGCCCATCTCCAGAGGCCACCTCTGCGTGGAGTCGGTGCTCAGCCTTGTGTGACGATAACACAAACTGCTCTACAGTGACATCTCTGAAACTTCTTTTTCCTTTAACTAGCAAAATAATTAGTTAGTAATTCTGATTTTTAGAGGCTGAGAAGAAAAATTTAGGACATTTCCATCAGAACGTATCTCCTTAATTGAATAACTTCCTAGACTCTCTAGTTAAAGTTTAAATAACTGTTAATGACTCTGAAGCAATCAGAAATGTTTTGCCAAAGGGAAATCAACAGTATATTAAGATAGTTCAGTATTATTGCTGAATGCTAAAGGCAGCTTTTAAAGATCCTATGTTTACAAACTAAAGAAATTAGATACATTTGATCATTCTGAAAAGTTTACTGACACCTTTAATGCCATTTTTCATCTGTCTGTAGGAACAACATTTCCATTACATTATATAGATATCAATGGGTAAGGTGAGCTTTCAGATTTTACCGATTTTATACAAAATACTTCTGTTCCTCTCTGAAATAAACTCTTATGACAAATAACCTTTTCATAATACCATGCATATTATGTGCTGCAATCCCAGGGTACTTTAGATATACATACATATATATACACACTTTTTTGGGGTACAGTGGTGACACATTTTCATTAGTCATAATGGAAAACTTTTTTATATTTTTCAGCAATGTAAACCATTCGCCTTATTGCCGTGTCTCTCCACTTCCTCCCAAACTGCAGTGTTCTGTACAGAAAGAATACTGTGTCTAACAATTTACCTCCTCATCTGACTTATCCCATAGGGGTGCAAATGTACCCACTTATCTTCCTGAAATTCCCCCAAAAATCCTGGGTCCAGAAAAATAAGGAATTTGGGCACAATTCTGTGCCACTGATTCCCAGACATTTTTATCAGGAGCATCAACCAGCCATGCATTAGACTTTAAATCAGTGAAATATCCATGTACAGCAGTTAGTGCGATATGACACATTGCACTTGGCTAACAAGTGAAGAAATTAGAAACAGATTACCTAAAACAGCAAATCCAAGCCTAAGATGGCTTTTAGAGAAGGTCCCAGATTGGTGGCTATTCTTCCATCCAGAATTTTTCTCAATTTTTTTAATTTAGAATTGTATCCTTCATGATGTTGCAAGGCACAAATATCCATCAAACTCAGTGTATATTTCGGGCATGAGGGATGGAGGTTTCATTAGCAGTTCATGTGAAAATCATTTTTAATTGATATTCAATTTGATTGCACTGGAGTTTAATACTGATGGCAAAACCTAAAGCGCAGGTCTCATCCAAAATCCTTTGGAATCAATGTGATTCTTAACACTAACTTCAGTGAAGCCAAGATTTCTGCCTAAATGTTTTTTAAATAAAATGCATAGGTTATTTCTAGATTATTCTGGTTACCTCTAGGATTCTGCCAGACTAAACTATGACAGTTTGCCTGCCTCCCAGGACAGTTTCTGTGAATCCCAAAAGCTTACATTTTGCATATAATAATATACAATAAAAAAATACCATGAAGTGACTTCCAAAATCCAAAGGTCAAAAATTCAGCTAACATATATTAATCTTTATTATGTAACAATGATATAATAAATAAGTTTATGAATTCATATGACCTGTACAAAAAGCCAAAAAGATATTGCACCAAGTTAGGTACCGGCTATTTGGATTTAGTATTTGTTAAACATATGATCTAAAATTATATACAGTTGTGGAGTTAAGGCAAAACCAGATGATACCTTTAACACAACAGAAGGTTTGAAAAATAGACATAATTACAAACAAGGGCATCTCATCTCCAGCTAATAAAGTGGTTGTGTCTAAAGAAGGAATCCCTTAGGTTTTTAATAAAGCAGTTATTATCAATCGTGTTAATTAAAATTGAAGAACAAGTGTGTGATTTCCTGCAGGGCAAAGCAGTTTTGCAAAGTTGTGCCTGAATGATCACCTTTAACCCTGGTAAGAATATTTTTCTTGATGGTTATGGTCTGCTCTTCCTTTTAGAAAACAGCACGTGGAAAAGAGGAATACCTTACATATCCAACTAAAATACAACCATTAACTCTTAGCTTTATGCAAGCTAGACTTGATTGTGACCAGTGACAGAGCATAAATACATGGGTGAACCACCCAACACACTACAAGTAGAGGAGAATTAAAGTCAACCACTTATCAATAATAATTACCTTTCTCAAGACAATGGAACAGATCATGTCAGTTAAATCCTAATGACAAAAACATGTATGACCAATATATCAATATACAGTTCTTTGGCAGCAACACACTAACTCTTGATTGAAGTCTGAACTCAAACTTTCCTAAATTATAGACCTGGTTGCCAGTCTTTTCATAATTAAAGAAAATCCACTTCTCCCATGAATCCAATAAGTCCAGTAAATGAAATTTGAACAAATCTTGCAGGCAGCTTTAGACTGTAACATTAAGCATAGATATTTATTGTCTGCTTTAGTCTCAATCCAAATATATTGTACTTAAACACAGAAAATTCTGTGAAACTTCTGAGTAGTTCAGATGGGGCCAAAATCCATAAAAAGAATCCATATTCACCCATGAAAAACCAATAAAGAAACACCAATCCCATGATGATAAAATGATCTTCATGTAACAGAGGCAATGATGAGTCCACACCTGGATGAATGTCACAGGAAAACTGACTTTACAGAGGAAATACCAGAAAGCCAGAAAACGTAGAATACTGCCATCCACCGACCAGATTACCTTTCTCCAATTTCAGGTAAACCTTATCCTCCTTGTCTAGATAGAGCAGGACTCCATTAGTGGCAGCTTCACGTGTGACATCCTTGTCCCCAGCAAAAGCAGAAATGACTGGCTTTCCATTTAGCATCAAATTAACCTACAAGAGAAAAAACACTGAAAAGCTCTAATTAACAGAAAAACATCCAGAACTATCACTGAATATTAATTACAGCGTAAGAGGTCTGCTAAGGTCCCAGTCTTCACTGCTTTTTGTTTGTTTGTTTTAAACTAATAATTACATTTATTTGGAGCGTACAAGCACATTCGTGTTTCATGGGCTCGACTTGCAGCCGAGTGAAGTCGGTGGGACTGAGCGCCACGGGCCGGGCTCGGTCGGTGTGAAAGGCTGCTTTCATCTGTTGCTTGGGCATATTAATTGTTGTAACTCTCTGGTAATATAGAACTGTGAACTATTACCTCAGCTGGTTTCGTTTTGGCTACCTCACGGGTTATTTAGACACGCAGTAGCAAAGACGACATTTTCAAGAAACTTAGGCACCCAGAGATGCAATATAGGCACCTAATGAGATGCCAAAGGTACTGCAGCAGGCCAGGAGCTTATACTTCATTGGGGGCAAGGTATATGTCCCTTCCGTTACCGACAGCCGCTTAGTTTTAAAGTCCGGAATGAACCTTTAGCTTTAGGAACCTCTGCACCGTGTTTTGGTACTGAACCCATTTTTCTGTAAAACGCTTCTGAAAGTCAGCACGGCTCTGCTCTGAAAGCAACATCACACAAGACACTCTGTAAATAAAGATGGGCAGGGGCTGGGAGAATGGACAGATCCAGGCATTTTTCATTTCCCTAATGGCGAACTATTAGCTTTCTTCTTCTTTTTCTTTTTAAACAGCTGCAACGCAGTCACAGAGGGCCAAGCTATGAAATGCTTATTCATAGCGAGTATGCTGGCCTTGCATATGCTTCCATTAATTTTAATGGCAGTCGCCGTGGAATAAATTAGTGCTCAGCATAAGTCAGGGCAGCAGAATCTGGCCCTGATTTGGGATTCACCTATCTGGGAAATCCACTTAATCAGATGTCCTCAGGGAACCAATTTCAGTTTAATGATATTTAATGGCACTAACAGATGTTCCAGGGGCATACTAATATCACTGATGTAGGAAGCCTTCAGGTGATTTAGTGGTGTTTAAGTCTGCCTGTGGCTGAGACTCAAGCTGGTTTGCTCCACTGCAATGGCTCCCTGCTAGTAATCACACATGGAAAAAAAGGGCATCAAGAGTTTACTCATTGCTTTGTTTTGGTTTATCTCATTCCTTTCATACCATCTCTCTAGGTCAGGTTCCCCTGCAGATCATCTTACAGTTATTTTAATCACAGCAGAAGGCACATCACAGGTTTGCCTCAGATGGTCTCACATTAAATGGCCAAAATGGAGCCAACCAAATCCTTCCATCATTTCAGAAACTCTTGATCTATGAAAGATTTCAGATCATGTGGCTGGTTGTAACATTCCCTTTTATAAGGCCCAAACTCACAGGTTTGAGTACCTGGTATGTGAGACACCAAGATCCGCACTGGGCTTCTAGAATCCAAGCCTTGACATCTTTCTTGGTAATATGTCTTTTAAATACAATGAAGCTGGCTGACATAAGTTGTTCTAGGTCATTTCCACCTTCAGCTTTTAAGAGAGTGAACGGAACAAAGTTTGAGCATATTAAATAGCTTATAAGCTCATTATAGAGATTTTCATGAGGTCAGAACTTCATCTAAGATTTTTGTCATTGACCTGAATAGAACCATATTTTGCCATTGTAAAATGAAGGTGAATCTCACCAGGGATGTGAATGTGTCTTGCACCAGCTTTCTGTGACATCTCTACCATTTACACTTTTCTCAGGAGCTTTACCAGCAACCCAAAGCCAGCGCTGCCACAAAGAAATGGCTGATCAGTCCTGCAGAAAACCATTTCATCTCAGCCTTGTACACTGAAAACCATATTCACAAGCAAGGCAGATCAGGGGAAAAGCATCAAATACTTCTGTGAATCTAGTGGTCTCATGGATGGCAACAAGGGAAGCCACAGATGTTATTCCAGATCTAGACAAACAGTATGTATGTCACAGAAGTTGCATGACCTGGCATGAAGCTTAAGGAATGTACTTTAAGGATTTTACTGTTGGCTCAGTGAGGGGATGTTCAGGAACTTAGAGGCTTTTCCTCTAAGCTAGTGCACACTTACATTTAATTGGGTAGTTCAGCTGCTATTATGCTACAGAAGAAAGTGCAGAATCACTCCTTTTTTTTTTCATATATGATACATCTTTTATGCATTATATGATGAAAAAAAAAAGTTTAAACTGCTATAAAGGTTCCCTAGAAGACATCCCTGTAGAGGTATAATATTTCAGTGTAGTATAGAACGAGTAGATCACCTTAACTAACTTTGGTCCACAGCAGAATGGTGTCATAAACAGATACCTGGCATCATGAGCTGTCAGCTAGGTCACAAAATGTTACAAAAATAATCAAATCTGGTACGTATCCCCAGTACTCCTGTGTTGAAGGCAGTGAGTTTAACCTGTAGCAAAATAGGACTCTTCAACAGTATTTAGGCAATTAAGTGAAATTTAGAGCTCTGTTTTACTCTTGGATGATTCACTCTATTTAATACTTGATATCACCCCAGATATTCAGTTCTTACAGTATGGAAGTGAAGCTCTGGCAGTTTATCGGAGGTGAGGATCCTGCCTTATTACAGCTGTTCAGTTTAAATGTATTCATGCTACTGCTAGGAACTCTACACCACAGGTTGCTTTGAACTAAGCTATTTTCCCTTCAAAGTGTGTTAAATACTCTTGTGTTCAGTCAAGATTCTATTCTAAATAAACAATTTAAGTAAAAGATTTTATAATCGTACTTGATCAACGTACCTGAATTGTTTGACTCTGATAGACTTTAATTACATGAAAACTGAAACTGTAAATTCCTTTTCTTGGTGCTACAAAGACAGACTCCAACGTGAAAAAATTGCCCACATTTACTAGGATCTACAAACAAAAAAATATAGCATGGGAATTAGTACAGTCATTCAGCGCTAAATAAAAAATACAGACTGTTAACTTTAGAAAACATTCACCCATTTTTAATCTGCATCTATGCTGTTTTATTCATTGTTCTCTCAATTAATTTGGAACATTACTCATAAAATGGATGTTTAGTTGTATTTCTAGTACAACTTTACCATAAATAGACTAGGGTAGAAAATATTTCTCACTTTGCTACTATATCATACCTTCAAGACCTTTCTTCTATACATGTTTAGAGGAGATTAAGAAAAGGCATTTTTGTTCCTCATTCCCCAAAAATTACATCAAAACACTAATTCCGGGAGTGGCATACTGCTTTTTGGCTGAAAAGCCATGGTCAAGTCAACACCGACTTCCTCAAAGTCTCAAGCTGCGAGGAAGGATGTACGTGAATGATACAATTCATCCACCGGTTTGTAGTCAGACTGAGTTACTGAAATACCTGGCATATCTGAGCCAGGACTGGCTGTGAGCCGTTGCTGCTTTAGTCATTTTTGCAAGCACTAATCATAATTTGGGTTTGATTAAACAGAGACAGGTAGCAGAGGGGAACACATTAAATTTGAGTGCATCGTCCACATGCTAAATACCTTCTTTAATGACTAATTCTTTCTTTCTTTCCACTTAGCTATGCTTTATTTTTAACGGGTATTTTCAGGCGCCCTTATGCCAGACACAGCTTTAGAAAGCCGCTAGGAACGACCGCGAAGCTGACTTCGTACCCTACCCTGAGGTAATTTAGACCACTAGCGTTAAGCTACGTGCCATATCCGGCTGCAGTTGTCACGCCAATTTACTGTTCACTACGATACGGTAGAGGAAGCAAAATAACCATCAGTCTCAATTACGGGGGCTTGCCCCAGGACGGGAGCCGGTGTATGAGACGTGTGCTGGCATCCGTACGGCGGTCGTAGCGGCTGAGAGGAGGGGGCCGCACTATGGACCTGGGATTGTTACAGAAAAGTTAAACGGTATTTCCTTAGAATTCCTTCTTCTTTCTCCTCTCAAAGGCTGCACAAGCCGTCTAAAACCTCCGCAGGCTGCTCGCACGCGAGAACCCCTAAAGCC